CCCCCCCGCTGCCGTCCGAGCCCCGCCGGGGCGAGGGAAACAGGGCAACAGTTGGCTGGGGTCGGGTCCGGGTGGCAGGAGCTCCGGCGGCTCGTGTTTCAGGTGGCAACGTGGGCGTGGGTCGTCGGAGGAATGCTTGGCCCAAGTCATCGGCCAGCAGGGCCCGCGTCCGGGAGGGGGGGGGGGGGGGGAACATGCAACGCAATGGCCCTTGCCGGAGAGGGGGGGGGCGCGCGCGTGCCGCATGCGTGCTTCTGGCGTGTTGGAGACGTGGTATTATGTGATTGGATCTGAAGAATTGGCAATGCTGCGGGAAAAAGACCAAAAGAGCACGCATCTTCCCATTTAATGTGTCCCTCTCCACCGGAGAACCAGGGGCAAGTGCTGCCCAACACGGCATCCGGCTGTTCTGGGCAAGCTGATGGGGGGATCTGAAAAGGCGGGGACCCGTCCCAGGAGCCCAGGTGCCGACGGAGGTGTCGGCCCCGCGCGCCGGCCTGCCGAGCGTGTGGTGCATCCCCCCTGTGCGCCATGACGCGTGGGGGGAGAGGAAGGCGCCGGATCCCCCGAGCCGAGGGAGATCGGGCAGGGCCTTTCCATTATCGGGACTCGCAGTTTCGATGGCTGCCTTGCTTTCAGGCTGCATTTGAAGGACTGTCCTCCTGTGCGTTCTCTCTGTCCCTCTGGCCCCGGGCGAGGAGTGTTCATCGGCGATTGACGGAGCAAGGGGCAGTCTACTCCTTGTGCCGCTGGGCCAGGGCGGCGGCGGCGGCGGCGGGGGAGGGGGGGGGGAGAGGTAACTCCCGTGTACCCTGAGTTGGGTGTGGCTGGCGGGCCGTTGCGCGTGGCCATGCCTTCGGAGGCTGTTCGCACTCGTCGTGCTCCGGCGTCACTTCGGGAGTCTGGACGCGCCCCTCCAATGGGGGCCATTGGACAGGGGCGCCATTTCGAGTGGGTGCGGGGCTCCGACAGCCGATGTGTCTCCAATCTGAGAGGGGCCTCCTCGAGCCGGTCCCTCCTCGAGATGGACACCCATCCGGCGGCCGGTGTGCCATGGTGGGGGTGAAAGCCGGTGAGAGTGTCCGTTGTCGGGGATCCGTAGTTCAACGCGGCTGCCAAGATAATCCGGTGTTCGTGTCGTTCTCCGTCGCCCCGGAGGCCCCTCGTCATGCGTACAATGCTCCATGAGGGCGGGCGCGCGGGACGTTGTGCTACCCTTCGGAAAGGCAGCGGACTCGGCCAGACCCGCGGCACCGAGTTGCTCATCCCGGTGGAAGGCAGCACTTGTGGTCGCTCAGCAGGGGCAGTTCGCGCGCGAGCAGAGGCGGCTGATGTGCCGGCAAGGGGCGGGAGCATCCAACAGGCAGCAAGGACTCCCCACATCGAGCAGGTAGGGGAGAATCCGCGGCCTGCGCCACCGAGGGCAGGGCCATCGACGGGCCGTGGGGGGGGGGGCGACACGGCCGATCACGATGGTGGCAGGGCGCTCTCACGGATCCGGCCCTACATCCGCAAAGGGAAGTACACGAGGCGGCTCCAGGGGCGGGCATCGCACACGCACCTTGCTTTGGGTGTCTCGGGCCCGCTGTGCCTCTCTTTCGGGTCCTTTGGCTCAGGGAGTACATCGCATTCAGTTGTGTGGGATGTGCGCGCAGACCATTGTCCCTCATCCCCGGGGTTATGGGGTTTATGGTTGCACCCTCCAAGGCACAGGACCCCAGGGTGTCATGG